TCTTCTATAATACCTAATATCTATTTAGTTCTCAAAGGTCTCTTGCCCTTTACTCTTCTTTAGTAGTATTAGTATATTTTCTTCAAAGTAAGCAGGTAGTGGGATTATGGCAATCCTAGTATAGAGTATAGGAGATACTAGAGATTCACAAATGCGGCCTCCAAAGTCAGATTTTCCTAATAAAGTTGTCATATATAATTATCATACTTCAAATTCAGAATCTCTTATTTATTTCATTATTGTAGATATTACCAGTATACAGTATAAGAATCTAGCATAGAGGCAGGTTAAAGTAGACTTAGAGATGAAGTCGCCAGTAATGTTCTTATTATAGTACTAATTTTTGTAAAGCACCTCTACCCAGGAGGAGTATTCTTTAGTAGCTACTGCGTGGGAGTCATAGTTTAGTTGGAGATCAAATTTAAAGTACTACTTTTACAAAATGCAGAGGTTGACAGTGGTCATGGGTCTACCAAGTTGAGAATTAGGGAGTAGTGGTTTTCAGGAACTCAGTTAGCACTTGACTCATATGACTGTCTGCATTTCAAGGGTCCATTCTGTCATTAGTAATCCTGTCTCTGAGAGAGTATAATTTAGCAGGATTTGATCATCCATGGTATTAAAAATATAGAAATGATTACGCCTGAGGTTGTATATATAATCAAGAGAGAACGGACTTCAGAAATACCAGAATATCCGTATTAAGAGAGGGAAAGGTTAGTTGATTGTCCAGTAACTTACAGTAAGGGACATGAAAAGTATTGAGTACAGTGAAAGGACATGAAGAAGAGAAGAAGTCAGAACAGAAGAAACCTTGAAGAGGTAGAATATGTGGCTGACACATCTCGGTATGTACTGTACACCCCTTTTCAGAAATCTCCAACACACTCAACGGTATTTCTACCATGTACAAGTAATACCGGTATCGATAACAGTATTTTTAAGAATCGATCTTAGCGCTCATTTTTTCCTCTAACGAAGTCTAAGAGCCAATAGATACTGGTTCCCGTGCCCTCCCAGCTTCTCTGGAGTTTGCGCTATGTTATCGCTGTAAAATTTACCCCGCCACTCAAGTCCTGTACCTTCCGCTTGTGTCACCTATTGATGAATTCACTCAATGAATTGCAAATGGGCTAAAAAGAGTCATCCCTCACAATTTCCCCTCCCTCGTACCGGAGACTTCATGCCAAAAAAAATGATACATAATAATAATAATAATCCCCTCCCCAATCGGCTCTACACCCTTCGGAACCGTTTCTGGCTTGCACCACAGTGACGGATGCGGGGGGGGATTTGGGTATGTTCCGTTGGTTTCCCTATGTAGAGGTTCGCAGAATGTAGTAAGTCTGTTACCATACCGGTGTTTGTCACATTCGGGTTCTTCAGACCAGAATACAATGGGGCTCTGCAAGCCGGCAAAAATAACACCTCTGATTGGTCGCAGGTCATCAAAATGTGAGCATGGCCCCCGCCATGAGCCTGTCGGCCTGAAATTCCGTGGGAACCGCTTTCCGCCCGAACCTTCTTATTCCCAAGTACCGTACAGTGCCAGTGCTAGAGCATCGTTCTAAGGCAGTTCGCTCAGGCGTGTTTGCCGGCAATGCCTTCGCCAGGCCAGACGTGAATTTTGCGGGAGTCCTCACTGATGCGGGGGCACTCTTGACAAAGATGTGTGAGTGATGTGCGGTGCGAGTACTGCAGGGGGCGAATTGCTGTTGGATGGCCGGACAGCGCTTGATCATAAGACGTCACTCATGATCTCGGCTAGACGCTGAAGGTGGGCGGATCGCTCATTTCGAGCTCGGTAAGCTGCCGATAGCAGGAGTGAAGTGGCTTGGCATTCGAAAAACCGCAGGTTGCAGGTGAGTTCTGACCAGCCATTCAGGTTTTGTGATGTTCGGAAAGGGTGGTAAGTGAATTACTGGTATCATAATATTATGATATGATGACAGCAGCCAGTGTTACTACCGCAGTAACCACATAAATTTAAAACACTTTTCACGACGCTTCCAACCCTGCAAACCGAGAACCGTTTGCTGGCATCTGTGATCTGTGAGCTTGCGGATAAACGGTTGACTCACGCGCTAGGATGCGTTTTGCATGCAGATGTTGATGAGTCAGGAACGAAGTGATTGTCCACTCTGCGCGAATATCGGTATTGAGCTGTGATATCTCCGGCAGCGGGGAATGTTGGGCGAGTGCACTGAGCTTGGGTGCTGTTTAGCTCACAGTTATTCCAAAGAACCCTTCCGGCCTCTTCCGTGCGGTACCGTGAGGTGTCTATATTCTAACTCACCGGGCTAGGGTCGGGGAGTGAAAGGGGAATAAAGATGTTACCATACCGCAATAAGTTGGGAGTCTACTTCATGATACCACCGCACATGTGCCTTACTCGTACCGGTACGTCGCTAGGAGTCATGTTAGAAAGGGGATGGTAAATTGGCATAATAGGGTTTTTGAGAAATCTACCGGCGCCATTGTACTCGAGCACCGGTATTATTGTCTTTGCCCACCCCCCTCAACCTGATTCATACCGGTACAGGTACCGGTACGGTACGAGTACTCGAATGTGGTGATAAATTTTCATGAAGATTTGCCCCTGACTGCTGATTTCCCGTCCTCCTCCACTGATTCACCCTGGAAATTAAGGCAGAAACGCCAAGCCTCAGCTTCCAGCAAGCATGACTGGCGAACCAACTCTACTTATCCTTCTCGCCCTCCTGGATGAGGCTCTGCTGGGAAGCGAGCGCACTGCGCAATAAGCACCCCTGGCTTTCGTCCTGCCATGGTGGCCCAGACCTGCGGGGCAAGCGGCCATGAAGCCTTTCTCCATCATACAGCAGGATTACCGGTATCGTAGCATACGTGCTTGTTCCTGTCCTCAATTTTCTTTAGGAATGCTCAAGGCGGGGCCGCTCACACCGTAGTTACAAGTGAACCCCCCGCTCCCTTGTATCATACTACTGCACGCTGAACCTCATTTTTTTTACCTTGTTTTTTGCCTTCCTCCCTTGCCTCACCAACAACGCCCTGTCTGTGGCGTCGTCATTACCCCTCCTCATCCACCACCTTCGTCCTCCTCCCTTGCCTTCGCCCTCCTTCTGTCCACACACCCACTCTCCCTCCCCTTTTCTAACCCAAACTCCGCTCATCACCCCTACTTGTGACCACTCGTCCCTTGTTTCCGGCCCACCACCTTTTACTGCTACATCTAAAAGTGCTCGGTATCTTGCTTGCTGCTACCGGTATTCATTTGTGCTCAGTACCGGTATTGTTTGCCTCTCCTCACCTACCAGCGGAGCCTGATACCAGATAAATCAAATTTCCCAATATGTACCGCAATCCTTACAACCCTTATTCCCGCTCCTCTCCTAGCGGGGGCAGTCTGCTGTGTACTCTTCCCACGGAAATATCGTCTGTCTATGCCTGCCCCTATCCTTGGAGCTACAGCTAACCAAGGAATCCTATAGTGAACAAATTTATCTTTCCTTGCCCTACGGGGATTTGACCCGTCTTGCGAGGGTTAATAGGGCACTATATACTTCGGTCCAGTCACCTCTGTATCGGCATGCCAAAGTCACTAGTTATGAAAGGTTGACTTTGTTCATTCGTACTTTGCATCATGTTGCACGCTTCGATAAATCCGGGGGAGGTGCTGTGAGCAAACATGTGGTCACCCTGCACCTGACCATCGATCCCAATGCAAGCGAGTCCGGGAGTCTAAATCACAATAGGCCAACAGCTGTAATGCTCTCTAGGATGATTGGAGCTCTTGGAGGGTATGTTTCACTGGAGTATTTTGTTTTTATCACTCGTCACACCCCAAACCCGTGGATACCTGCACCAGGCTAACCCCGATAATACAGTTATTGCCCAAGTGTCAGTATCACCCTTCATATCTCCAACGGCTCCTGCGATGCACAGCCCTTGACCTCCTTTGGGCTGGAAACGTTTCCCCGTGTCTCCACTCTCATTCTTGAAGTAGGTGTTCCTTCGATTTCCTCGGGCAACGCTTCAGTGCCTCCTGCCCGGCCTTCCTTCCGCCAAGTGATACCTAGTCGCCGCACCGCTCTTCAGTCTTGGGGTCGCTCGGGTTCTGGGTGTAATCCCAATCCGAAGTTTTGGTCTGGAATTTTCAATGGGTCTAGTTTCCCCGATTTACGAGAAGTTGAGGTTTTACATGACCCAGGGAGCCCGGCTTCTCAATGGGCAAAAATTGTGGAGTTTGGTGAGGGCGACCTCAAAGGGCTAGGAAAAGTGACCAGACTCGTGGTGAATTCTGCCCCAGAGCTGAATGACTCAGTGCTTATGGGCGCCCTCACTCGTGCAGAATGCTTGAAACGGCTGGAGCTAAGAAACATTGTTGGCTTAAGTTATGAAGGTATCGTTTGGTCCCAACTTATAACCATCGCTTCAATCGCTTACATAGTCTCCCAGCATTATCTGTGCTTCTGCCGCTTGCCCTCCCGAATCTAACACATTTTACTCTCCATATTCCCCCCCGCCATCGCTCCGCCCGGCAAGCGAGGGACCAACTCGAGAGCTATCAGCCCCTTGCACCAACTGGAGAAGAAAACCCTTCACCAGTTCACCTCTGCCCACTCCTCAGAGTATATGGAAGGAATCTTCAATATTTGGAAGTCTATGCACCTTACCTTTGTCGCGATTTGTTCCTCCATGAGTCGGAGAAATCCAAACTTGATGAGGAGGGGGTTAGGACTGATATTGGAGGTGTTGGTGGCGGTGTTCGCTTTTCGCACAACGGGGACCCTTTCTTCATAGACCGCATTGCCCTTGAGCAGACCGTTAGGCGAGTGAGAAAACAAAATGGAGAGAGATCGTTTAGGGAGGCCGTTCAGTCTAGCTTGAGAGAGCAGCTGTCGGCGAACAAAGCCAAAGACATTACTAGTACAGGCGCTATCAGTACTGCCGAGTATGAAGAGGAGCAGAAGGGGCTGAAGAGAGTAAGGACTATTAAAGAGCAGGGTTGGCGCAGATTAATGAGATTTAGGGAGGGAATGTGTCGGGAGGGGGAGTCTTGGGAGGAGATTGGAGTTTTGGCGAGTTTGGAAGAAGAGAACGTTAAATGGACTTGCATAAGTGGGTTATCAAACTAGTTCTCCTTCTATGTTTGTCGCTAACCTGGCACAATAGATGATGCTGTAAAATCGATGGCGACCTACGTGAATGGAATTGGAGCAGTAGTTCAGGTGCCATCAGACCCTCCAATTCCAGCTGACCCTAGTAGAGCCTTTGGGAGAACAAACACAAGACCCTTTATGTCCGGTCACGATTACAACGATGATCTTGCTGGTGGCGAAGACGGCGATCCCGTGGGCGGAGCGGACGGTGATTATATTTAGGGAGGTTATTTTACCCCCCTTTTCTTCTTGATAGCAGTGTTTTCACCTCTTACTTTTCTCTACCTATCCTAGTCAGGGTTTAGGCAGAAGATTTTTTGTAGTTTTTTGCTTTGACGAATTTCCTACTTTTGTGGGCTTTCCCATTTGGGATGGGACGGACTGGATGAGATTTCGACACTGCGCAGGGGAGGTATCTATTTGGCCGCATTTTTGCGCGGCACTTTAGCTTGGGATTACGACCGGAATCTGGAGTCCGACTCCACTGCTTTTTGCTTTTTTTCTTCTCGCGATTCCGGCGCCGGTGCCTTTCCTAAGCAACGACCTCCTAGAGGCGATAAATTAATTTAAAATACTTTGTTTCCCAAAGTCTACACGTTCTGCCTGGCAAAGCTTGTGCTGGACTTGAAGCTTCCAGAAAAATATAACCGCGTAGTCACTATTGATCACTCGCTCGCTTGTCAATTTTGGATGTCGCTTAGGTTTGGTGTGTGTCAGCTTGTGCTCCGGGAGTATACGATTTGTCAAATTCCCCGGTCTATGATATGGTAGGTGAAGTTTGTTAGTTCCCACTTGGGTGGTTTGGCTAGATTTCTCGTGATCGTCCCAGTACAATACTATCGTACCCCCAGTCTTCCGCTGCTTTGGGTGAGAGCGAGGGACCGATTGCCCGCTTGCCATTCCGTCCTGGGGGGCAGAAATTGGACGGAGCTCTACCATTTCTCTCTTCATAGATGGTTTACTGGCGGTTCTGGCAATGGTGTGAGAGTTTGAGTTTTGGTGTTGGCTGTTGGGACCGCTTGTGTTTTAGCAGGGTCAGGAACGCAGCACAGCACAGCCACTGCGGGAGTGTTCATGATCTGAGACCCGCCCCAACCAACTCAATTACGATGGCGCAATATGTGCCTAGGGGGGTTGGGGGGATACCGGTATCATAGTAATGTATGATACCATTTGTGGGTGTTGCGTTGAGCGTTCTTAGGGCAAACCCATAAGAGCGATGGCTAGTGGCATTATAGTAGAATGTTGGGAACGGTAGGGCAAAAGCAATTGTGAATCAAGGATTGGAAATGGGAATCAAAAGAAACGATACTCACTAAGATCGTGTATAGCCACACTACACACTACAACGAATCCATATCAACAACTCCCACAAGCGATGAGAGCCTCTCCATGCCAAGCCCAGGAAACCTTTTAACAGTTGACTAGGGGGGTCGGATATCTCCAGTCTCATACTGTAACCTCGACTATATTCTGAAGATTCTGGAAGAAAGAGTATAATTACCATTCGGCTCTCAGTGTCTGCTGTATGTCATCCTTCTTTCTGAATGACTTTTGGAGCTTCTTCTATTATTATTTTTCTCTTTTGCAACACACTTTCCACGGATCTATTGGTCGTTCATTACGAAAAGTGGAGAGGGAATTAGGAGGAAAAAGCAGTTTCATTGGACAATATATATTTGCAGTATAGATTGTTGTGGGGTTGTACCATAAAGAAAATTGTGATCAACTTTGTGGGCTTGGAAAGTTTCGAGAAGGCAGCTTTAGGGAATGCGAGACATATAGACCACACACGAGCAACAACTCTGCGGGGCCAATGGTGATTCTTTTTGAAAACTTCCTTGTAGGATTGAGGAGTGACTAGCCTGGTATCGTAGTTGAGCCATTTCAAGGTATTGTCTGGTGGGCTCGTGTAAGGATTATTGGGCATATGATAATGGCATGGAGAGGTGCTGCTATGGGGATTCTGCTGCGCCGGGTATAAATATCTCCAGTGAAGCTGTTAAATCTGCTCTATAAATTAAAATAGACTAGACTCGGCTTTAGTATTTCTGAAGTGCTCGAGCCTATCATAAATATGCATCATTGTAGTAGGCAAGGGTCGTGGTATTCAAATTAGTAATTATTTTGAGGAGATGTTCCGGTTGAAAGGGAATTTGAAGATAATTAATTCATTAGCAGGTAGTTCAATATCATCAAATACTAATCACCAATACATTATAATATCTCTGCTGCTGTATCTCTAGATAAAGTTAAGTAATTACATGTACTAGTACTTTTAATAGTTGATTATTATTTTAATACTATAATTCTGCTAAGTGATATTTAAGTTTCTTTCTTACTCTTTTCTACAAGTACCCAGCAAGAAGTACCAGAACACAAGGACTGTTACTATTACAACCACACCAACTGATTTTAGTATTTGTTGCACAAATTACAATATTGGGTTTCAGCCAATCACAACACAGTAAGGGAATTTAAAGTGGTTTTTTTTTTTAATTAGCAATGTCTAGCTTGTAGCATATTGACAGTCTGGCTCCCGAGAACTGCAGTTACAAGGGCAGGATAGGTGAGTTGGAGAGGCAACTTGAGAAGTGGGAAAGGAATTTGAAGGAGAAGGACGCTATCATGGATGTGAAAGGATTTTGCACATGACTTGATTATGAGTCTTGGGTCTTGCCAGGGTGATTGACTTAGGACACGC